GAAATAACCTGAGTGATATGTGACAGGTGCAGAGAAAGTGCTTGGGAAACATCAGAGTAGCTCCTTCCTGCTTCACCCCATACTCTTCTCCCATGCCTGCAACCTGTCACTCAGTTGTGGAATGCAATGGGCAAAGTAATCAGTAAATGCTGCAAGGGAACAGCAATGCTGCTGAGAAGTAGAAATAGCTTATTGAAGTTTAGGCAACATGGCATTATGCCAGCATGGAAATAGCATTAATAAACAGCCATGCAAACCTCCTTTTGATTAAATCTGTAACACACTCATTGGTAATAGTAGAATATAGGTGGCAGAACCTGGCTCTCTTTGGCAGTTCAAATAATGTTCTAAGGCAGTGTTTCTCAACCTTGGCAACTTGAAGATGTCCGGACTTCAACTCCCAGAATTCCCCAGCCAGCATTCGCTGGCTGGGAAATTCTGGGAGTTNCTAACAAACTGGGTCCTCATTTTACTGACCTTGGAAGAATGAAAGGCTGAGTCAACCTTAAGCCAGTGAGGATCGATCCTGGCAGTCAGCAGAATTAGCCAGCAATACTTCATTCTAACCATTGTGCCACCATGGCTCCTGGAATTGGGTAGGTCTAGTTTAATGAAAAGAAGGATTAGGAGTGACATAATGGCAGAGTTCCAATATCTCAGGGGTTGCCACAAAGAAGGAGTCAAACTATTTCCCAAAGCACCTAAAAGCAGGGCAGGAAGCAACGGATGGAAACCAATCAAGGAGAGAAACAACCTAGAACTTAGGAGAAATTTCCTAATCAGTGGAACAATGTGCCTCCAGAAATTGTGGGAGCACTGGACGTTTTTAAAACGAGATTGGATTACCATTTGTCTGAAATGGCATAAGGTTTCCTGCCTGAGCAGGGGGTTGGACTAAAAGATCTCCAATGTCCCTTCCAACTCTGATATTCTGTTAAGGTCACAGCATGGATAAATCAGCCAAAAGTATAGCAATTTTATGAAGGCATAATAATAAGAATATTAGCTAAATCTTATTTCAAACTATCTGATTTTTAAAAAGGGAGGGCATTGTTACATTGCTATCATCTGTAAAACCTTTTAAAAACTATATTTTAGACATTCGTTTTATTTTGGACTCTTTACCTAGTTTCATGCAGAACAAGACCTAGATCAATGAATGTCTATACAAGAGTGCATCAGAGGTGGTATTCAGCAGGCTCTGACCAGTTCTGGAGAACCGGTAGTGGAAATTTTGAATAGTTCAGAGAACCAGTAAATACCACATCTAACTGGCCCCACCCCCATCTATTCTATGCTTCCCGAGTCCCAGCTGATTGGGAGGAAATGGGGATTTTGCAGTATCCTCCCCCTGGAGTGGGTAGGGAATGGAGATTTACAGTATCCTTCCCCTGCCATAGCAATAGCAATAGCAATAGCAGTTNGGGGCAATATGCTGACTCTGTAAACCGCTTAGAGAGGGCTGAAAGCCCTATGAAGCGGTATATAAGTCTAATTGCTATTGCTATTGCTATCTGGATTAGTATAAAATGCTCAAATCTCAGTTCTAAGTTAAAATATTTGAATTTTAATTTGGCCTATGCCTGGACAGTAATAAACTGATCTTTTTGAGTTGTGGGGCTGATAATTTTGGGACTTGCCCACCAAAAACTGGGCAAGGCAGATGCCTATGAACATAGCAAGATAATAGAAGTAAATAGACATTATAGTAATTTTTCTGCCTCATTCATTTTATTAGCATGCTTTCTATATTATATTTATATTTCTAGAAATTCTGAGCACTTGTATCTCAACTTACCTATCTTGCAGGGTACTCCTGCCAATGTTGATGGCTGATGTGCCTCAATTTCAGTGCTTCTTGATGGCCACTGGTGTAGAAGATTTTTCTCACCTGAGTCTGCATGATTTATATATAGCAATGAATGAACTACAGGGTACAAACTGTATGCTTCTGGTAAAAATCTGGACTCCTGAAGTGTTCACTGAAATGTTCTTCTGGTTTCAGAAGGATACAGTCAATATTTTTACTGTAAAGACACATCAGATTTCACATGTAGTCCAGATATTATGTTCCATTTGTAATATTTTTCCCATTTCTGCTTCTATGTTTTTTTCTTATTTTCTTATGGTTAATATTAAACAGGTCTGTGTATGAGAGAGGGAGGAGGAGACAGGGAGGGAGGGAGAGGGGGAGGGGGGAGAGAGAGAATGTGTGTGAGTGTCAGTGGTGGGTTTCTGCCGGTTCACACCAGCTTGGGAGAACCGGATGATGAAATTTACCAATCCGGTGAAAGGAGGTTCGACCGGTGGACCAGGAAATAACTTCTAGAATGCCTGCCCCGGCCCTGTCACTCACTCACTCACCCCCGCTCATCCTGGAGCAGCTCCATAGCTCGCTCCCACCGCCCGTCCGCACTATCCTAGCCCAATTCAGTGTCAAGTCCCATACCTGGGAATGGGGATGGTGAATGGAGAAGCATGGAGAGGTCCAGTGGCACAATCCACCAGACAGCAGCGGCAAGCTCAGGAGTTTTTTTCTGGATTCCTCTCTGTCCTGCCTTTTCAGATCTCCCAAAGTTCTTTCCCCAGCGTGTGATAGCTTTCTACTGGATTCCCCTCTGTCCTGNAGTCCAGACATCTTCAAGTTGCCAAGGTTGAGAAACACTGTTCTAAGGCAACAGGGTCTGTCAATATCACTAAACGTGTATATAAAAAAATTGACTTTAAAACTGGAAAGCTAAATTCAATCTCTACTGTGGATTGAGAATGAAACAAAGGCAAGAGCATGGAGGAATGTGATTTTAAAATGGTGTATGAGGTATTATAAATAAGGGGTTATGAGCCTCTGAATTAATTTTAATAATGATGGACCCTGGGCCTTTTATGTCCTTTTGACAAGCATGTCACAAGTACTGTAGATAGAGGGGGAGCGCTTGTTGGAAATGCAACTACAGGAGTAGGAACTCTTTGCTCCTCTTTTTCTCTCCTCTCAATTTTTCCTTATTAAAAGATTGATACACTTAGGCTCCCTTCAGTCTGCTTCTGGATCTAGAATCCTCTCTGTCATTTCACACTGCAATTCACCCAAATCTGTCAATAATTGTTCAGACTGCTTCTCAACTTGTGTTTGGCATTTTTCTGGTTGTCATTGGATAGTCAGATTCCCTTTGAATACACCAACAAAAGATACTTGGGTAAAAACACTGAGAATTTTGATTAATGACTAAAGTCACCAATCTACCCATCAATCTAGCCAGCTAAGTCAAAACTCACTTCCAGCCCAGAACATATTCTTATTTTGGAATTTTCCATTATGCTAAGCCCCTGGTTTACTTTATCTTGTCTAGCTTCTATAGATGAATTAGAAATATGTGGCCCAAGATTTTGATTTTTCCATTTTTATTATCCGTATTCCTCCCTTTCTCTTTTTTCTTTCACTGATTCCATGTGATTTCAACTATGTAGGAAAGTGTATGTGACTCATATGTGTCAAACTAGTTTATTTCAATGGAAAATTTGCACCTACAGCAGAAGGAGACCTGATTCTGCCTGAGAGAAAGATGCCCTCAGGTGTTGGTTTGCCATATTGTACTAAGAAAGAAGATTGTGGAACAAGAATAATGCCGTCAAAATGAACAAATCTAGATGTAACAGCAAAACAAGCTTATCAATTGGTTTGGGAAACATGTAATGAATGAACAATACAAAAACTCAAGTGAGTAAACACCTTTTGTAATCACAAGTCAAAGAAGCAGCAGAGGTCCCTGGTTCTCTCACCCTTTCCTCAACCATTGGATAAATGCAATGCAATCAACAACGCCAGCTGCTATGACAAGAAAAGGAGGCAATGGCATAGAAGAAGACAAATTCCTGAATCAGTATCTACTTTGGACAAAACAATAGCAGTAGACTTATATACCGCTTCATAGGCCTTTCAGGCCTCTCTAAGCGGTTTACAGAGAGTCAGCATATTGCCCCCAACAATCTGGGTCCTCATTTTACCCACCTCGGAAGGATGGAAGGCTGAGTCAACCCTGAGCCGGTGAGATTTGAACCGCTGACCTGCTGATCTAGCAGTAGCCTGCAGTGCTGCATTTTAACCACTGCACCACCTTGGCTCTTACCCTTACCCTTCTTGCTTTCTAGTACTATAAATGTGATAATAAAGTATATGAAAAATAGAAGGTCCTAAGTAATTTCCTGACTTGTAATATTTCATCCTGAAGTACTATGTGTCTGAATTTAATTACCAGAGCTAGTGTAATTTATATTGTATACAAACAAGATTTTATTTATTTGGCCACCTACTTAGCAACCAACTCTGGAGAACTAGTAAGTTAAACACATCAGAAAATATATTCGCCCTAACAAGGCTACATATAAACATATACAGCACCAGAAGTTCACTTGTTCACCTCTTGAGTTATCCCATGTAAATTGTCCGTGGTGAGTTGTCTCAGGACGAGTTAGCCAGAGCATGTCGACCAGGGTGAGTTGACCATGGCAAGATGGATGGGGCGAGTTGGCCACAGTGAGTTGTCCCATTCCAATTGCATCTATCCACACAGTGTCCTTATACGGAATATGACAACATAGAATTAAAGAGTTTAATGACCCCCAGCTCAATGTGACAGCAATTTAGGAAGGTGTTGTCAGAAACTAGTGTTTATTTCCAGTTCCAGCACATAGCAAACAATGAGTTGGCTTAACAATCATGACAAAAAATATCATAAAATTGGATCCAGTCACATCTTAACTTAATTTATAACAGTCATGACTTAAAACTGTAATTGCCAGGCTCATCTATGGTTGTAAATTGAGGACTACATGTACAACATTTTCTATTTCATCTCAAGCAGAAAAATGTCTTAGGCTAGTCCTTCTGAGGCCAGAAAAAGCAATCATGCAAAGTTATTTGTTAATCTTTTATTAAACCTAAACTTTCTGCTTCTGGCAAACAATTAACAGAAGATCCCTTAAGGGAGTCCAAAGGGAAAAAATTATTTAAAATTCCATTGGTTTTATTTTGGGTTCGGGGATTTAAACCATAGTCAGAAATAGCAGAATGATCCAGTAGTTATACCTTTCACTGATTGTAAAGGAAGCAATGTCTAAGTAGGGTAGACAAATAAGTGCTTTGTTATGTTACCCAAAGAACCACAAAAAAATATCAGAAGTAGAAATACGTTTGCATGATATTTAACTTTCCGGCTCTTAACAGGTGCAGAATTCTCAGGCCAGAGAAGCCTAATCAGAGCTTTCTGGAGAAAACAGAAAGGCGAGGATACTCATTGAGTGAGGTACTAGAAGATTTTTCAGAAGACTAGAGAAAAGGGAGTGCTGCAACATTTATCTAAGATTTGTTTATTTTGCTTGACTCTAACAACCCTTCTATTTAAGGTCAGCGATGGGCAGTTTGTTCCTAGTGCAGCAGGCAATAGGTTGGTGTCGTGTTCGACTGCCTGTGATTGTAACTAAGAGATTCTGCACCATGTCTTCTCAAAAACATTGGATGCCTCCTCCTGCATCTCTACTACAGCCATTATCTGTTCCAAACAGATTATTACTAGGACCTGGGCCTTCCAATTCTCCTCCACGGGTCTTGTCTGCAGGTAGCCGACAGCTCATAGGACATCTACACAAAGAGTTGATTCAGGTAAGGACTATGCTTCCAACTTTTAAGATCAGCAGGATTCCTCCATCACTACTTGGTAATCTTGAGATACCATGCTGAGAGATGATTATTTATTCAACACTAAATTGATTTTTATTCTAATAAAGCTCGTATGCTATTAAGTACATTTTATTTATTGTATTGATTAAGCTAAAAAAATAGCTAATGACAAATGAAACAGCTGGAGTTTTTAAAATGAAATTTTTGGCACTTATTTTTTCAGAGCTTTATTGAGAACACCCCCAGATGATTTTGTTTAATTTGGATATTCTGAGTAACAGTTTACAAACCTTCAGGAAAAACAGCTCTTTAAATCGATCCAAAAACAGCTGCTGAGCTCTGTAATCTTCATTCTTCCATATGTCAGTGGGGGGAAAAAAACCCGTTCAGTTCTGTTGCCTGGGAAGTTTAAGTTTTAAAACCTAAAATCTCTCAGATAATCTGGATATGACCTTTTTATGGATTACGTGGTGTTGATGATATGTTTCATATTGATGTCTCCTGAAAGCCCATGTGATCCTAAATCACCAGGCACCTTCTTCCATACCATTAATTGCAATGTTGATTGAATTATAACATTTGTCATTACCCCTCATAGTAAAACAGAATTACTGCTTATTATAAAAAGAGAGCAACCAATAGGCTATTTGATGAAAATAAATACAGAGTGAAGAATAAGACTTAACATCTGGTTGCATCATTTTACTGTAGCTCAGCTTTTCTAGCCTCTTTTTTTCCAGCCCCATCCTGGAACCTAGTTGGTGGAGGGCCCAAGTCGAGAGAAATTGATCAGCACACTTTTTGAATTCTTTCAACCTCTTTGTTCTACAGCAGTGTTTCTCAACCTTGGCAACTTGAAGATGTCCGGACTTCAACTCCCAGAATTCCCCAGCCAGCATTCACTGGCTGGGGAATTCTGGGAGTTGAAGTCCAGACATCTTCAAGTTACCAAGGTTGAGAAACACTGTTCTACAGTATGTCTGATCTCATCAATGATCAAAAATTAGAAATCTGTTCAATGATAATAAAAATTACAAAAATGTGTACTTGTTAAACATGGCTTAGTCATGTTTGCATCATTGGTCATATCACTTTCATTGCAGCTACACAGGAGGACAAACCCAGCCTTAAAGGAATATTTTAGGTTTTAAAGCAGCTGAACATAAAACCTATCTGTTCTATCAGGCTAAGGAGGGAAAGGGGGGAAATATATCTGTTACCAAAATTCCTAGGAAACACAGAATAATTCTTGTAAGCCATCCAGAGTTGTGTTTTAAGATGGGAGACCATATAAATCATAGAGAGAAAATAAGCTGTATTGGTTCAATTTTCTCCAGATTCAAATAGCACTAGAATGGAGAAAGTTGTTGTAGGATTAGAGACATTTTAACCACCTTTCAGTTTCTTCTACCTATTGACTTTTTCTTATAGCAAAGTACGTTTAAAACAAATAACTTTTAGTTGATAGAACAATATTAATTATTTTCTCCTATGCCTGTTACTCTCAGATGTAAATACATCAAACTATTTCTGAGAGGGGAAAGCTTATTACTTCTTTTTTCTCTCAGATAATGGATGATATTAAGGTGGGAATCCAGTACATATTCCAGACCCAGAACCCTCTCACACTGGCTATCAGTGGTACAGGCCACTGTGCAATGGAAGCCGCCTTCCTGAATTTGGTGGAACAGGGAGACAAAGTCTTAGTTGCTGTGAATGGAATTTGGGGAGAACGAGCAACTGACATTGCAAGCAGACTTGGTATGAACTTGGAAGCCTCTTGTTATATATTTCATAGCCAGCTTCTTTACGGCTTGATGCAAACTGACATTTCTTTCCCATTTTTGATTGAACCATGTCATTTACTCTCACTGAGATGCCAATTGGCTGCATTTCAGAGAACCATTGCAGCAATTTAGGCTGTAATCTTAAATCCCCATTTACTTTGAGTATACTACTAGTCACTGCCATCCTATGAAAAATCCTTCTGCATCTCTGTTGTGTATTATGTCAATTTATGTTTTTACGATCTCACTATATCCAACAAGTTGTTGCTACATTTGTTCCATATAAATCACATTGAGGGGAGAATGAAAGGTGTGCATGAAGCTGAGCATTTCTTCATGAAAAGTCATGATTGATTATGTTATAAATAATTGATTTATTATTTTATTAATTTGTTAAAAAATATTTTATGATTATTTTAAGAATGGGCCCGGTAATAATGACTTGTTCAGTAAACTATGTTTAAAACAAATAATGGACCCAAACAATGTCAGAGTAATTCATAAAAGATTTATTGTGACCCAAAAATTCATACACTAAGAGTTTTCCCCAGCTTTGTATTGTAGGGCTACATCTCCTTTATATCTGAGGAAAGCAGGGATTAAAGATTATGGGGCGGCACACATGAAGCACAAACAATAACACTGTTTGTATATAATCATATGTATATAAAACAAAAAAAAATCTCACAGAACTATCCAAATGTAATGAAATATAATTTACATTACACTTGGATAAGCCATAACACTTTTGAGAAATACAAAAACTCAGAATTTTAATAACTTCACAATATCAGTAATAGGTATATTACTACATGGTTTTCTTGTAATGTATTAACCTAACTAGACCTATTCTCTTTTGGAATAATCTGGGTTTGGCAGGGTAAGAGTCAAACTGGTCAAGAGGTCATGCCAGGATCTTGATCAGTGATACCATTTGATAAAATCCATTAATTCAATTATTTTATTATATTCATATATAAATAAGTAATAAAAATTAAGTTATCACCATATATCTGAGAAAGTGAGAAAACCATTAACTTTCAATGGTATAGTGGCTGCACATGTGCTTTGCTTCCAGAAAGCACTATTGTGAAATTCCAATTGAGAGAGATATAAAATCCTGGAGAACTGCTTATCTGCGTACTTAACTCTGAAACACATGAAATAAAGTCTATTTTTGAAAAACTTCATTACTGATTTAATCCTCTGATTCAACCTTTTTGAGTAAGAACTTGGATTAGATTAGAATTTTTGACGGAATAACATTAAGATTACTGTAAGACTACGCATTTTCTTAATTCAGAAAGAAAGTCTTTTTGCCTTTTTAATAATAGAATATTTTAATAATTAAATGCTCCCCCCAATGCCATATTTAATGATAGCTTATATTCGAAAGTCCCATGGAATCTAGCTGGACTTTGACAGGCGTGTGCTATGTATTCAAGTTAATATATGACTCGTAGCAAACAGTGACTCCAAAATAGTTGGTTGTGCTTTTCTACTGAAATGTGGACTATAGTTTTCTTGTTACTCAGGAATGCTAATCCAATCTAAATTCTTAATCTCAAAGGCTGAATTACACAATTAGTAGATTGAACCAGTCATATAATCTGCCAGTCGAAATCATTGTAGCACAAGTTTGCAATGTTTGCCAAGCAATATTTTGTGTTCATTTGTCACATTAGCATGTCTATCTGAAGCTTGCTGTTTAAGAAAAAAATATTTTTATTTAGGGATACCCAACCTCATTAACTTGGAATTTCTCAAGGGATGTTAGACAATTTATTTTCTTTCAGTTCATAATAAAGTGGATTCCAAAAAAATGAAGGGATTTGTCAATACTTTGTTACACATGCTTTGTTTAATTTTTTTCCTAAGTGTTAATATTTTTCTGAAGTTTTAAGAGCTGTTTCTTCCTTTGCTTTTAATTCCATATTATTATTATGCTTATATCATTTCCTCCCCATAGGAGCTGAAGTACATCAATTGGTAAAGGCTCCTGGAGAATATTTTACTTTAGAAGAAATAGAAAGGGTGAGTTTTGGGCAATTACCAAAAGTATTTTATTTACTGAAATGATTTCATACTTTCTTCCATTTGGATGTACCATAGAAATTCATCTTCCTAATTACCAGAAACATGCTATTAACTTTTTTCTTTGCATGATTTCCCCACTTTTTCTCTTTATGTGCCACTTAGGGCTTGATACAGCATTCTCCCTTTTTATTTTTCATCACACATGGAGAATCATCTACTGGAGTAGTTCAGCCACTGGATGGCCTGGGAGACCTCTGTCACAGGTCAGTAAAAGAAGGAGAATAAACCCCCATTGGTTTTGGAACGAAAATAATAGGGCTGCTACCTATAGCTGGAGATTATTCTGTGAGGTACTGAAAACATATTGCACATGACTGTCATTCATAACGAAAGTATTTTAGCTAGATGTTTGGCTTTGACCATAAAACAGACAGAAATTATACTACAAATTAGACTACAAGGCAGTGGTGAAATTCAGCTGGTTCTACCTGGTTCAGGCAAACCGGTAGTGGTGGCGGTGGGAGGCTCCGCCCACCCACCCAGACATTATCACGTCCTGTTTTTGACATGGAAGGTCTTGCGTGCGCTCACATTTGTGAACCGGTAGCAAAGGTAAGTTGATTTCATCCCTGCTACAAAGGAGCAAAATAGTATTGTATATTGATTGGCTTGTAGGCTACTTCAAAGTACCTTACAGGTTGGAGAGTAAAATAGCAAAATGATAGTTTAAAAAAAATGAGCCAAAGAAACAATAATACACACAGCACACAGGGTATATATTAATGTGCAGAAAAGATAATGCAACCATACACCAAATGAGATTATGGTCAGATTTTTTTATGGCTAACACTTGTGCTTTTTAAAATTCAGGTTCTAAAACTATTGGTCATAAAACCTGTAACATGATAATTTACGTTGTTATTGAATTTGAGTGAAGTGGCTTAAAGGGAAAAGATGGCTTATATGGACATATCAGACATTTAAGATGTATTTATATATAGTGCATCCATATGATTAATTAAGAATAAAGACAGGTGGGCTTCACATAATTTAACAACTGGTTCGCCTAGTGTAGAACCAAAAATGTGAGCACTCATGCGCACAATAGCTTCACTCATGCATGTGCCTTCTGCGCTTGTGCGCAGCTTCAAGCTCACAGTGATTTCATGTATGCGGCTTCCAGCACACCTTCTCGGGCAGCCGTGGTGAGTAGAGTGGACGAGGTGTGGAAATCAGCTGGTTTACATGGGTGGGGCGAGCGAGCCAGAGAGTGAGATATATAGGATGGGATAGCGCTGGAGTGGAACTGCGGTTTGCCCAAACTGGCAGCAGCCTACCTCTGAGAATAACTGTTATTATGGGGCTTTGAGAAACATAATAATAAAGTATCAGAAAGGCAGTTTTGGGATCCTTGTCACCCTGAGATTGGTTGTTTCTTGAAGACATTTCATTACGAGACTATTACTAAAAAACACTTAGGAAGTAAACCAAATGACAAATGGACAAAATTTCACTTTTACAAGATTGTTTCAAGTACATAGAAATAAGAACAGATTTACTTTTAACTACGAAAGCTACTGTACAACAAACAGGCAGGCTATGACGAGGAAAGATAGATTCAGAGAATTCTTCATTTTTCTCCTCCATTTATTTTTTGTTACAAAATGCAACTGTGTGCTCAGTTAGAAGTATACTTCTCAAAGTTGCTCAACTGTATGGAGGAAGAATATGGGATTCTTGTAACTTTTCTTCCATGAGTAATAAAATAATCCTGGGAAAGCGACTTCCAATCAACACAGCCCCCCCACCAGCCAACATTGCTCAAAAGACAAAAGTTAATAGCTTTTCAATATATGAAGCACATCACAAATCTGCTAAACATATAATTTAAATTCTACCAATTTTATTTAAAAGTCAGTGATAGTTATTTGTAGAGTACCAATATGGCTCTTATCACTAGCTGCCCTCTATCGATCCAAATGTTTAAAAGTTAATGTTTTGATTTATTTCAATTAAAATGGCTGAAATTCTACCAGATCTGTATTCACTTATGAGTTTTCAAACTTTCAGTTTTAAAAACATTGAAAACAATTCATTTTTTAAAACTGAAACCGGCAACATCATGTAAAATCATACAACTATCAGAAAAATAGTTGATCCCTGATATATTCTTTCATCATTGTTTTAGATATAATTGCTTACTACTGGTAGATGCTGTGGCATCATTAGGTGGCACTCCAATACTTATGGACCAGCAAGGTGAGCAAGATACTGCAATCTGTCCTTGCAGCATGAATGTTTGTTTCTATTCTATAGCATTATTTTCTGGAGTTTTTTAAAATGTAGAATTGAATTTTATTTCTGAAGTTCTTAACCAGATTTATTTGACCAACTCTTTTTAGTGGAAAGTTCAGAGTAGAAGATACATGTAAATTTGCTAAGAATATATTTTGCGCATGAACTCTTTTAATTGCACAGTAACACTAGTAGAAAGAGTTTTGAAGGAAATATCACAGGAGACAATTCTATTTTAAATTATAGCCATGGTATATGAAAATGCATGAAGATCCCTAAACTGTTTCCAAAGCTCTTCCATTTCCTATCCAGTCCTCTGCTCCTAACTGGGGAGCCATTGCTTAACAAGGCAAATAACCCCACTTCAAGAGGAAGTCCTACTGTTACCATGTGTTCCATAAGGCACTTTCCTGCAACCACTGTAATGTACTTATTGAAGTATTGGACTAGGAAGATCCAGAGACAAGTCTACCATTAGTCTACCATTAGGTACTGAATAACTTCTGGGCAGTCAATCCCCCTCCTGCCTATTTGCTTCAAAGGGATCAAATCAAGAAATATCCCCTTATAAGTCCCCTTGAACTTTTAGAGGAAGGATAAATCTAACAAAAACTTTGCCCTTGGTCCAAAATACAGATTCTTCTCGGGCATACCTTGCAGAGAGTGATAAGTAAATCTAAAACTAAGTAAATCTGAAACTAATGGTCAGGTAACCCCAAGAGGTTCGTTCACTGGGAGTGAAGGAAACAGATGGTTAAAGATCATGCTAGCTACCATAGATTGATGGAAATGGCTACTGAATATACTACACAGGGTTATCAGGTTGGGGAAAACATACTGGTAATTACCATACATGGACCAACAAGATTCCCCCAGCTAAAGAGTCTGGGGGAATTGTACTATTTTTTCAAGTGCTCCTAGACCTTTGTGGGAAAGATGGGATAGCTAAACCAGTTTGTGCAGTAATGCATGCCATATAATACTGTATATAAAATGAACACAGCATTCCAACAAATCAATTTCACATTGAATTGTAAAATTAGCTACTGTCCTACAAAATGCTGGTAGAGGCAGAAGAAAGTAGAAAGCAAAAACCCAAAGGTTTTCATGGTAAATTTATTTACTGTATTAATAACAGTGATTCAAACGAGAAGCTACTAACAATTTTTCTTATTAAATGCACAGGTATTGACATTCTGTATTCTGGCTCCCAGAAAGTTTTAAGTGCACCACCTGGTGCTTCTCCCATTTCTTTCAGCAACAGAGCCAGGTAAGAAGACTTTTCTATGAAATATATATGATTTTCAAGTGCTGTATCTTTCTGGGACAAGACATACTGTACACTAAATAAGAGAAACGAGAAAATATTTCTTGATATCCACTGAGCATAAAAATATATTAAAAATTGCCAGAACTGAACATAGGCGGCTAGAGAAAATGTTAATACAAAAATAAAAGATAATCAGCAGCTTCCACAGCAATACATCCAACCTATTTTACAAGCATGATGCTACAACAGAATATCTTATTGCAACATGATGACACAGAACCTATTGGGAAAGAAGAGCTAGTTTGGTGTAGTGGTTTAAGGCAGCGATGCCCAACCTTTGTGACATGGCAGGCCAGCTGGGGGGGGGAGGTGGGAGGGAGAGGGGAACTGGCCCATGTGAATGGCAGGCTGGCACACGCATGCAACGTTTGTGCAAGTGGTGGGCCGATAGGCATTTGCTCAAGTGCTGCCGGCCTGCCACTTGCACAAGTTGAGCTGTGCACATGCATGTACACACTCCAGCCAGTCACTTATACATCCCAATTCCAAACAGACAACAGCCTAGTAGTGGTCTGTGCCCCAGGGGCTGGGCATGGTTGGTTTACGGCATCAGGGTAGAAACTAGGAGATCATGAGTTTCTCAGCCCCAGGAAGGAGGCAATGGCAAATTCATTGGTCTTAGTATCTAAATCTCGGAGAGTATAAACATCTTTACCAATTGCAATTAATGAAGTACCTCAGTACACAACATATTGTATCTGAAAATCTCAGGAGGTATAGTAGGCGCATTCT